CCCCAAAACCCCAAAACCCCAAAACCCCAAAACCCCTTAATAGGGTAATGAGATTGAAATAGGAAAGATTATGTAAAGAAGAAATATGGTATAGCTTGAGATTTTGTGTACTTAGTAGTAAATTAGGTTCTTGAGAGATTTTTTTAAGTTGATTTAGGATCGTCTTGTGACAGAATCTACTTTTATATTAACAGCTTTCACACTATCCTTCTCCTTTCCTTCATATTTCTTCACTTGATAGCTGACTTTAAATAAGAACTCCTTATCTGCATTCTTCAGCCATTTCCTGGGAGTCTTAGTGTGCTTAATATCCTCATAATGAAAGAAAATGTCTTGCCCACTGTCAGTTGGCTGTATAAATCCATACTTTGATTTCTGGTTATAGAACTTTATCTCTCCTGTATTAAAGTGCATCTCTTCACATACTATCTCAGATTTAACTTCTTCAGCTTCTGACTGCCTCTCACTATGATTTCTAGCCGACCCTGTGGTTTCTTTATGAATTTTCTTTTTATTCTCAGCAGAATTGGAACTTTCATTGGATTTTTCAATCACACTACGAGCTGTCTCATTTTTTTTCGCTCCATCTTTATCCACAAGCTGATCTTTCTCATGGGAGGTAGATCTAGCTCTAATCTGGTCTGCTTTCTCTACCTTGATCTTACCTATCAGAGTGTGCATTGATTTTTGGCTTTGCTTTAACCTTTTCTTACTGGTGTTTAACTTCTTCTCTATAGCTCTAGTTAGCCCTAATTTTACCCTCTTCTTTGAGTTTTCTAGAATTATTAATCGCATTTGATGGCTGTGTCATGGCTGAGTAGCTACGAACAAAATTCTTAGGCTTGAATGGATCACTCGTAGTGGACATCCTGAAGGATTTATTTAGATTTCATCATTTTTCTCTTCATATTAGCAGTATACCCAGAAGCATTCTTCTCACTCAGGAACTGGTTATTTATCTGTGCTGGAGTCATATAAGCAGGCTGGAAAATATTATATGGCAGCAAGACATTTCTCGGAATGTTAGTACCAGTTGCATTCATCCCAGGAGGTGGTTGATATAGGGATATCCCATTATAACTAGCACTATTCTTGAAATTATTCCTCTTCTGCTGAGAGCTTCTCTTCTTGCCAGGCGTCAAGGAGAGCTCAGTCATAGCTTCTGCTTTCAGATGATTGTTATTCGGCCAAAGCATGCCTTGAGAATAACTAGAAAGTGCATCCGAATTTCGATGCTGGTTAGTTGAATTATTATTGAACTGAGCCATCTCAGAGGAAGGGTCAATCGCCATCGAAGCACTTTTACCAAACTGATGCTTTTTCTTATTCATAAAGGAATCTGAATCAGTCGTTATTTTGTGAACTGCGTTCATTCTTTTAATGTCGTTATCATTGAATAGTTCTTCTGAAGACTGCGAATCACTTGTATTCGAGTCATCATTAGAGATAAGTGGAATGATCTGGCGATTGCAGATATAAATAGAAACTTTATTTATACTCCTCAAAATCTTCAAAAGGTGTCATACTGTGGAGTTCGTTAAGCTTGATTGACTTGTAACTTAGCCCATTACCCTTATCATAAATGACTCGTCAGGCATCAATCTCACAGGCAGCGAGTAAGAAGATGAACTCCTGCTCTGGGTGGATAGAATCCTCTTGTAACATCTTGATATATTGGTCAAATCCGAGTTCGATGTCCAAGCTTTTAAGCAGAGTCTGAAGTTTAGTCTTGTTCGCAATCATGAAGGATATTAAGTTTTGAGCATACTTTTTGTAACCTTCCTGTGAGTTCTCCATCAAAATTGCCATAACCTTGTAAACATAATGCGTGTCTCCCTCTACTTTGACTAGTTGTAAATCTTCTTTCTGGCAAAATTGGCTGATTCTAAGAGGATATCCTGACTCTGAGAGAGGTGGAGTTTCTGTATTTTGGGTTAGTTGGTTTAGTAAGATTCTAGTTTCAAGGTCGTAGCTCAACCTCGAGAGGACCGTCAAACATAGCAGATTTAAATACAAAACGATAGCTTCGTACTAAATAAAGTTAACCAATGATTAATAGTTTCTCATTTGGATTAAACACATCTACTCCATTCTACAATAACTGAACTACCCAAATTTCGCATAAAATGCACATAAATCCCAAAAATCCTCTTAAAATCCCTATCCCTACCATAATCTCATTCCTTCTGAACCATTTTCTTAAAGTGCTGTATCTATACACAAACCAATTACCCCATTCAGGCTCCCCTAATATACCTTTTTCCTAATACGATCAAAATCCATTTTCTAATTAAAATCTACAATTTTTACCCATCTTCTTGGGGTTTTGGGGTTTTGGGGTTTTGGGGTTTTGGGG